AGTGATATTTTATGCGATTGTCCAAGACCTAATCATAATAATTATCGTAATAACCCTAAACCGGTTATAGCAACTTATATACCTCCAAACGGAGATGGTGAAGATTCATATTATCCTTCAATTTATGCCGCATCTAAAGATCTTGGTGTCAATCCTGGTTTAATATCAATGTGCTGTAACAATTTAAACAGAGTAAAGACTGGAACAGCAAAATTTAATGGGCATATTTTTAAATATAAGTTTAGATATGCTTAAAGATATTTTCTAATACTAAAATGCTTAAAACTATTTTTTGTTCCATTATATAATAATATAATAGAATAAAAAATGAATAAACTAGCCTCGCAACTTAATCCTCGCGCTTTAAACTTTCTAAATATCGAGAATATAATTCAATACTATCGTTTAATTGTGTTTCAAAATCATCATATCCTTTTAAGGCGGCTTTGCATTTCTTACATATCTCTTTTAAATCGGTAATAACGTTGCATAAGCTAAATTGTTCTTTGTTATCATGACATTTCGCTATATTTATTTCGCTGCTATCAAGTATCTCCGTTAATATAGGAGTCATTCTTTCTTTATCTATACCGATTTCGACCTTCTTTTGTTTACAAGAGCTTATAATTTCTTTACAATAATTAATAGCTTTTTCTATCCCTTTTTTAAAGTCTTTATTCATTTTTATTTTTTCCTCATATCGTTTTACTCTTAACACTTCGTCGATAAAGTAAAACTCATCGCTAATACTGTTAAAAAACAATTTACTATATAAGTTAATGTTATTGTATTCACCCATCTCTTTATATAATCTTATTTAGAAAAAAAAAGATTTCGTTTATTAAACGCACTACTTTATAATAAAAAGTTTCTTTATTTTGTTCTTCTTTTAAGATATAAGTTTAGATATGCGTAAAGATTGTGCTTAAAGATATTTTCTAATACTAAAATATAGATATGGAAATTGAGCGATCTCCAAATCAATATTTTAAGAAATTTGAAATTAAAATTTCATATAAATATGATCCGAAAAATCAACTTTATTTCACTTTAAAAGATGCTTTTGAATTACTTCAGTTAGAACTTCGCAATTTAAAAGGCATAAAAATAAATGTTCTTTTAAAAATAACTTTTGCGAAAAATAGTCAAGAAGATATAATTTACAAATCAGCTTATTTTCATTCAAAACCTTCAATTATCATAGATAAATCTGAATTAAATGACACTTTAAGACATGACTTTGATGAAATAATAAATAAGATTGGTAATTGGATTTCAGAAGGTAGTGGATGGAGAATAGAATCAGTTGATGCACATTATATCAACAGATATAAATACACACCTCTTTCTGCTTCAAGTTACTTTGAATTACCCAAAGAATTACAGAATGCAAAGAAAGGATTAATTAATATAAAAAATAAGGATAAAGAATGTTTTAGATGGTGTCATTTAGCTTATAAATTCCCTGTAACTACACATTCTGAAAGGGTTAGTAATTATAGAGGGCATGTAGATGAATTAGATTATACTGAAATAAAATTCCCTGTCACAATAAATCAAGTACCCAAAATAGAAATTCGGAATAATATTTCATTTAATATATTTGGTTACGAAAACAAAAAAGTATTTCCGTTATACATATCCAGATATAATTATTCAGACAAGTGCGATATGTTATTACTTTCCAAAAGTAAAACAACGCATTATGTTTGGATAAAAGATTTTAATCGATTACTCTTTAACAAAACAAAACATGCCAATCGAAAACATTTCTGTAAATCCTGCCTACAATGCTTTTCCAAGGAAAGAATATTAAATGAACATAGGCCAAACTGTTTAGCTATTAATGGTACTCAAGCTATTACAATGCCAAAAAAGGGATCACAAGTTAAGTTCAAAAATTATCACAAACAATTATTGGCACCTTTTGTAATTTATGCTGATTTTGAGTCTATAACTCGAAAAGTAACTACTGCTTTACCATCATCCAAATCCTCATTTACTGAACCATATCAAGAGCATATAGACTGTGGATATGGTTATAAATTGGTTTGTTGTTACGACGATAAACATACTAGACCAACTCAAGTTTACAGAGGACCAAATGCAGTTTATAAATTTATTAAAGCTATTCTTAAGGAAGAGGAATATTGTATGGACACTTTGAAAGCATATTTTAACAAACCTTTAAAAATGACAAAAGAAGATGAGGCGTTATTCAAAAAGCAAACTTCTTGTAATATCTGCGGAAAAGAATATAAAAAAGATGATATTCGAGTTCGTGACCATTGCCATATAACGGGAAAATTTAGGGGAAGTGCTCACTCAGAGTGTAATATTAATTTTATACTGACACGCAAAATTCCTGTTATATTTCACAATTTAAGAGGTTATGATAGTCATTTTATTATGCAACAAATAGGAAAATTTGAAAAGAAAATTGATGTTATTCCTAACAATATGGAAAAATATATGGCATTTATGATAAGCAATTTGATTTTCATTGATAGTTTTCAATTTATGTCGCAGTCATTAGATAACTTAGTGAAAAATATTCCAGAATTTAAGTTTTTACCTCAAGAATTTGATGACTTACTGAATTATGAATTACTCAAAACAAAAGGCGTTTATCCATATGACTTCATGGATTCTTTTGAGAAATTTGAAGAAACAAAATTACCCTCTCAAGAAGAATTTTATTCTGTTTTAAATGAGGCACATATATCTGACAGCGAGTACACCCATGCTAAAAATGTTTGGGAAAAATTTAAAATAAAAACAATGGGAGAATATCATGACCTATATTTGAAAACGGATGTTTTACTTTTAGCTGATGTTTTTGAAAATTTTAGAAAGACATGTTTGGAATACTACAAGCTTGACCCTTGCCACTATTTTAGCAGCCCAGGTTTAGCTTGGGATGCAATGTTGAAAATGACAGGAATAAAATTAGACTTAATTTCTGATATTGACATTCATCTTTTTATTGAAAAAGGTCAGAGAGGAGGAATAAGTTATATTGCTAATCGTTACAGCAAAGCAAACAATAAGTATATGAAAGATTATGATAAGGATTTACCATCTAAATGCATAATGTACTTAGATGCGAACAACCTCTACGGTTGGGCAATGAGCCAGCCTTTACCCTCTGGGAATTTTAAGTGGATCACTCAGAAACAATATAATAAATTAATCGCAAAAGGTAAAACAAACTTCATTATAGAATGCGACTTTGAATATCCGGATGAATTGCATGATCTTCATAATGATTATCCTTTAGCTCCTGAAAAGATTGTTATACCTGATGAATGGCTTTCAAAGTATAGTAATAACATTAAAAACAAATTTAATATAGGAAAAAGTAATGTACGTAAGCTTGTCCCAACTTTAATGAAAAAAGAAAACTACGTGACCCACCATAGAAATCTCGAACTATATGTTCAACTCGGGTTGAAAATAACAAAGATTCACAGAGTGTTGACTTTTGATGAAAGTCCTTGGTTGAAAGAATACATTGATTTCAACACGCAGAAAAGATCTCAAGCAAAGAATCCATTTGAAAAGGATTTTTTCAAACTAATGAATAATTCCGTTTTCGGCAAAACAATGGAAAATTTAAGAAAAAGAGTTAACATAAAATTAACTCATGATGAAAATGTGCTGTTGAAATACATAGCAAAACCTTCATTTAAATTTGCAACAATGTTTAACAAAAGCTTATATGGTATCAATAGAATAAAAGAAACATTATTATTGAATAGGCCAACCTATTTAGGAATGTGTATTCTTGACTTATCAAAATATTTAATGTATGATTTTCATTATAACTACATTTTAGAAAAGTACAATTACCAAAAATGTAAACTCCTTTTTACTGATACAGATTCGCTTTGTTATGAAATAGAAACAGAAGATGCTTATGCAGATTTTAATGAGGATAAAGACTTATTTGATAACAGTGATTATGATCCAGAATCAAAGTTTTATTTTGATGCAAATAAAAAAGTAATTGGAAAGTTTAAAGATGAAGCCGCTGGAATTCCTATAGTTGAATTTGTCGGACTTCGGTCTAAAATGTATTCATACTTATTAGAAAATGAAGTTAACGTTAAGAAATGCAAAGGCATAAAGAAAAGCGTTGTAAAGAAAAATATAGTACATAATAATTATAAGGAGGCATTGTTTGATTCAACTCAACAATATCACGAATTTAAAGTTATTCGGTCAAATAAACACGATATATATTCTTATGTTGTAAATAAAATATCTTTGTCATGTTATGATGATAAAAGATATATTCTTGATAATGGCATCAATACTCTAGCTTATCAGGACAAAGCTCCATAAATTGTTAATTGAATATTCTTTACATTTAAACCTTCGATAAAAATCTCATCATTTGTTTTAAATTTATCAGCATAGGTAATTGAAACTGATTCATTCCTTCTGTTGTTCTCTGTCTTATAACTCTGAAGAATTTTCGAGTTTCTATCTTTCAATAACAATCCACATTGTCCTTTGTTAACTTTTATCGCATCAATTATTACAATTAGCGTGCAATTTTGTTTAATTTCTACTTTATTTCCATTTTGAATTAAAGACTGACTTCTATTTATTACTATCCATTTAAATAATCCGCCATCTTCAGTATTTGATGACAGGAATAAAGGAGATTTCGGTTTTGTATAATGGAGATTTATTTTCTCATTTATATTATTAAAAATACCCATTTATATTAATTTGTTAGATAGAATCTTGCGTAACTTCCAGCTTCAATAGTCCATTCTTTATAATTTCTAGTAAAAAATATAATGATATCCCCTTTTTTAAATTTCGTTTTAAATTTATCATTGTACTGATGCAATGAATCATCTTTTTTAGGAAAAATTTGATGATTACTTATGCCATGTTCATGCTGCCAGACTATAAATATTAAAGGACTATATTGAATAGGGTGAATATTAACATTGTCAAAGATCATATTTATTTCAATAACGTACTCTCCGTCCTCTAAAATTTCAAGTATGTCTTCTGATTTATTATCGGGATTTAATGCTATGAAATTTTTGTAATCTATAATCCTGCTAGCTATTATTCCGAACATTATGAAGAAATTTTTACTGCCCTCTATAGTTCTTGCTAATTGTTTATCTTTAAAATCATAAACTTCCATCATGTCACCCCCGATATTTATATAATCCATACTCGCATGCAGTTGTTTGTTATTATAATATCCAAAAAGAAACACTTCACGGCTTACTGTTGTAATTCTTTTTTCTAACTTTTTATATCCTTTCTTAAATTTAAGAATCACTTCAGCTAGATCATCGAGTCTCTTTGTAGTAACAACATCTAGATCATCGAGTCTCTTTGTTGTGTCTGTTTTTATTTCACCCAGAGACTCTCCCAAAGAATTTATATTTTTTTCAATTTCCGTAATTTTAGTGTCCAAATTATTAATATTGTCTTCCAAGATTTTTGTTAAATCAAACAGTGATTTATAATTTTCACTATGGCGCTTATCAACACTATCAACTACATTTTGAAGTTGGCTTTTAAAATGTTCCATGGTCTTTTTAAGATCATCTAGTTTAAAATCTTGACCATCACTTCTTGTAGAAGCAGACTTTTCTAGCTCGGCTTTGTATTCAGCAAATTTACTTAAAAAGTTATCCAATAGGTCTTTATTTCTTTTCGCTGTTGCATCATTAAGGTTGTTTATTTCTGTCCTGATTTCTAATTTATACATATTCTTTAATTTGTTTTCAGCTTCGGTAATACTCTTTTTCAATTCATCGTGTTTAATCATATTTTCCGTTAATTCTTTTATCTGTTCTTGAACAATACTAATGTTTTTAGCTAATTCTTGTTTGGTGTGTTCATCTGATTCGTCGAGTGCTTTTGATATTTTTGATATTTCATCACCAATTTTGATATGTAAATCAATTATTGTACGCGAATTCTGATCAAGGTCTTTTTTTAGTTGTTCGATATTATCGCGTTCAGTTTGTAGTAACTTCTGTATTTCTTTGATAGATCCAAGGTTATAATTTGAAACTAAATCTTGAACTTTTCTATAAACAAATCTCCTTGAAACTGCATCATTTGGTTTGTCAGGACTTCCTAAATTGATTATTTCATTGCCACCCATATCTAACGGTTTATTCATTTTATTGTTTTCTATTGAGTTTCTATTAAGATACGATTCCATTTCCTGTTTAAGTTTTTTAAATTGACTTATACTTGCATAGTCAGTCAGGTCAAGATCAAATTTGATCTTACTGATGCTTTCTGATTGGTTTCTTTGTTTAACATTATTAAAAATTCCCATTATATATAATTTATTCCTCCATTATCTCTAGTAATTTCCCCAGTAAAATTTCTTTTACAAAATTTGTTTGGTTTGTCAATATACAAGAAACTATATTTCTCCTTTGTTGCGTTTTGGTAAGAATCCCGATCAATTAATTGTTCCCTACAAATCATATCATTTTCACGTTTACTTGGACTGTCAAATAAAATATAATGTGAACAGTTAATCCGAATATCCTTTGGTGTTTTATAGTAAGACTGACTCAAATAGATAACACAGCAGTTCTTATGACGTCCTTGCATAAAGTATTTTGTTATTTCTTTTTGATCTTCGCAAATAAAATCATCAAATATTACTATATTTTGTTTTGATGAGTCAATATCATCAAGATCAATGATGTCTGAATTTGATAAGTATAGAATATCCTCTGGTTCTACTTTAATCTTTTTGGCAATTGCATTGAAAGAATCTATTAAGTCTCGATATTTTGATTGTTCCAAGTTTTTTGAATAGAGGTATAATTTATCGTAATAAACTAATGGTTCCCTTAGCATGTGTATAAGAGTGTTTGTTTTACCTGATCCTGAACATCCACATATAAGCATTCTAAAACATGAGTCTGGCATATAGGAATATAATTGCTTAAAGTTATTATCAGATTTTCTATATTTTTCATAATTAGGAATTTCCATTATATATAACTAATCTTACATTATCTTACATTATCCTACATTATCCTACATTATCCTACATTATCATACATTATCCTACATTATTATATAAATGTTATCAAAACTAAAAGAAATGACAGAAAAAAAGATTGAATCTGAACAAAAAATTAAACATATACGTAATCAAATTATTGAAGATAAAATAAGAAAGGGTGCAAGCAGGGAAATGTATACAGAAATTTACAAACCAATCACTGAAACCTTAGAAGATCAAAAAGAAACATTGTCTAGTCAGTTAAAAGCATTGCCTGGTCTAAAAGACGAATTGGCATTACTTCCGAGGCGATTTGTTGAAAAGATACAAGAAGCTGAAGCTCTAAAAAAGATACAAGAAGCTGAAGCTCTAAAAAAGATACAAGGAGCTGAAGCTCTAAAATTGTTTGAAGAAGAAGCACCAGGAACATTACCCCCTCCAATTACAATTGAATCACCGCCTTCATTAGAGGAAGAAGATAATAGTAGTGAGGAAGAAGATAATAGTAGTGAGGAAGAAGATAATAAGAGGAAAGAATTTAAAGTTAATTTAAATAAGCAGGTTGATCTAGATTTATTAGACGATATATATAACACACCACAGGAGATTTTTGATTTTTATCATACTAAGTCCGATAATCCTGATGAGAAAATGACTCGTGAAGAAATAATGGAAATAATTGATAGTGCATCAGATGATATAAGAAAGTATAGTAGGAAGGTATCAGGATTCACGAGAAGGAAACGTGCACTCACAACAAAAGAAAAAGAAACGAAAGAAATCTATCGCAGAAAGGCAGATAATTATAAAAACTACAGAAATACGTTACAAGATATTCTTTCACAAGATAAATATATGGGAAAAGGTTTGAATAAAGGAATAAGGAATTCATATAAAGTTTCTCGAGATGGGCAATATGGTAATTTATCTATTAATCTACATAAACTGTATGGTCAAAATATATTAGTAGCGAAAGATAAGAACACTGGGAAAGAGGTAATGAACACAAAGGTAGATGATGATTTTATTGATTTAATAAATAAAAGATATGATAAAAAGAAAACATATTCCTTACATTCAAGAAAAATATTTCAGGATTTAACAGAAAAATCAAAACTACCATTTAACAAGAGATCTATGAAATTTAAAAAGGTAATAACAGGATCAGGCATTTGTGCTTGTGATCCAAACGAATTAATGAATGATTTAAAGTTAATTTGTGGTTCGATTGATGCTGGAAATAATAATCCAGAGTTAACAAATGAAGGCATTCGCATTATCGATTCATTATTAAAACTGAAGGTATTAAGTCCGGAACAACATGAAAAATTATATAAAAAGTACTTTATATAATGGAACAAAAAATTGTATTAAGTTCTGAAGTGGTTCGAAATAATAATCAAAATACACCAAGTGAATTCACAGTAAGATTTAGTCGTCCTTTAGTTTTAGATAAAAATAAAAGATATATTGTTGGATTAGACTCAATAAATTCAATGACTTACTCTTGGCATAATATAAGTGATGAATATGATAATAAGAGAATTCGCTATAATAATGGTACGGAATGGAAAGACATTTTCTTTACAAATGGTTCTTATTCTTACACAGATATCAATAATTACATAAGAGAAACATTAATAAGTAATAATGATTTCGATGGTGCTTCTGCCATAGCACCTATAAGTTTAGAATTTGATTTGAGTAGTTTTAAAATTCTAATATCACTTATGGATAATTTTTCATTAGATTTTACACTGTCAGAATTTTGTAAACTTCTTGGTTTTAAAAAGAAAAAAGTAAATAAAACAGAATGGGGAGCTTTAACACCAAATATAACTAATTCTGTGGATACAATTTATATTCATTGTGATCTGATAGATAATTCACTTGTTGATGGAGAGTTTGGTGATGTGATATATGCATTGAGTACTGCGGATTTAACAAGAGCTTATCCTTTTACAAAAGAACCTATTAGGGTTGGTTATTCTGAAATTAATAAAAATATTATAAATTCGATAAGAATATATATTACAGATGTGTTTGGTAGAAAAATCAATTTTAATGAAGTAGAAACAAGTTTTACATTAATTATAAAAGAAATGTAAATTATATAATGCACAAAAAAGTATATGATGAAAATAGTGGAGTATATATTCATGTTGATAATTGGACGGGAGAAGGTATCTCCTCGCGTGCAGGAGGTTTCTTTGACACTTTATTTTCTTCTGTAGGTAAAAAAGTATTAGAAACTGTAGGTAAAACTGCTATTGAAAGTGGCGCCAAAAAGGTGGGAACTGAAGTCGGAAATTTAGCTGCTGATAAAATAACAGGTGTATTTAAAAAGAAGAAACAACCTCCGCCAGTTGGCGATAAAATTGTAAAAGAATTAAGAAAGAAGGATACTGAGGACATAAATTTACAAATAAATGAATTGTTATCTGGATCAGGAAGACGAGATATAAATTTACAAATAAATGAATTGTTATCCGGAAGGCGATTATTTAAAAAAGATATATAATATATATGTTTCGATCAAAACAATACTGTGAAAGATATGAAAAAACACCTATTCGATTAGATACACCTTTAATAACAATCCTGAACAATAACGTCACCCAGCAGAAAAATGGATATAGTTTTACTATAAATGATAGATCTTCATATTATGATTGGTTCAATGGGTATTTTGAGGTAAATTTTAAAATAAATAAACTGGCAAACGGAGCTAATTATGATAATGCTGATCAAATTGCTGTAATAAACAATGCAGCTTCATTAATTGATCAATTAGTTATAAAACAAAATGGAAAGAATGTATATGATTGTTATAACTTATATAGGGTTGTGAATGTAAGAAATTTAGTTGAATTAACAAAAGATTATGCAGAAACAACTGGGACAAATGAATTAATTGCTTTGGATTCTACAAATGTAGCTGAATCTAGAGCTAATCAGGCTGGATTTAATAAAGGTTTTGCTGCAAGAAAATTATTAGCTCAAGGAGGTAATGAAATTAAATGTAAAATCCCTTTAAACAATTATTCATTTTTTCGGAGTTTAGAGACAAATATGTTGCCCCCTAGCCAAATTCAAATTACATTACAATTAACAAACGACGATGAATTAATCCATAGGGTAGCTGAAGTTGATAATGGAAGAGTTATAGTTACTAAACTTATCTTATGGGTTCCTCGGTTAATCTTTAACGCTGAAGGATATAGTTTGATTTCTGAACATTATTTGAAAGCAAAAAAGTGGAACTATCTTCGAGAAAGGGTCACACAATCATCTGATATAGAACAAAGCAATATTATTTTTAGAATAACAGCTGGTGTAATGAATCCTAAACATGTGTTTGTTTATTTACAAAGAGTTAATAAAAGTAATTCACAAGAACAAAACCCTCATTTATTAGATACTTTTAAAGTAAATGCTAATAATAGAAATTGTACTTTGCAATCTTGTCGTCTTGAAGTTGGAAATGGTGTTTTTTACCCCGAAACAGAATATTCTAGTATAACGAGAATATATGACGATGTAATAGATTATTTTCACAAACAAAATGATAAAAATACTGGGTCCCTTTTAAATATATCAAACTTTGAGGGTTTGTTCGGATTCATTCATTTTAACTTGGAATTTAAAAAAGAAGAAATTGCATCTGATCCCAAGCATCTTACATTAGATGCAAAATTAAATGTACCGCCAGCTGCAGCTATTTGTGTCTATGCCATTGTAATGTATGAAGAAACAGTTCAATTAAATACTATTGGAAATGAAATTGTTATTGTTTAAGACAGACGTCTTTGGTGAAAAAAAATAATTATATAAATTATATAAATGTCTTACGTTGAATATAAAATAAATTTATCAGAAGGACAAAAGCACAAACTTGCGAAATCATATAGAGATAAATGCCCGTATACTTTAAGATTGAAGTATGAAGATTTAAATGGTACTTTCCCAATACTTTTAACACAGACACAAATAAATAAAATTGATAGGGCTAAACAGAATAAATCTGGCTTAGAAATTAAGATATCGCGGGAACAAATGCGCAGTCAAGGCGGTTTTCTTAACACTTTAATTCCGTTTATTACAAAATTAGCTCCAAAAATATTAGCCCCTTTAGGTGTTGGAGCATTAAGTGGTTTGGCTAGCACTGGTGTAAGTAAAATACTTGGAAACGGTATGGTATCTGTAGCAAGAAATAAAAGAAATAAAATATTACCATTTATTACACCACAGCAAAGAAAACAATTAATGAATGACGGGGTAATTAAGTTAAATAACAAGCAACGGCAAGATGG